ACTCAGATCTCTCTGTGCCTGCAGATGTTTTGTGAGAAAAGAGGACAACTCTTATTGAGGAGTCTTAGGAGAAATGAGATGAAGATTTGTAGTTCCTAGGACCTTGTATGTAAAGGTATGACAACACAGTTCACTTTTAAGAAAGAATTGCACGTGCAAATCCCTACTTGGTGTAAAGAGCAGAAAGATGCAACGCGGTGCCACTAGGTGTGTGCAAGCAGCTAGGGAACACAAAACAGTGAGCTGCACACAGCAAAGGCCAGAACCAGTACCGGTACAGGTATATGTACAGCACATCGTCAGCTTCCACGCTACTGATAATACATCGCACACTTATTTAATAGCCTAATGTGTACTTCATTAAGACTTCAAAACTTTGAAAATAATTAAACAAAACAAATATAAATTAAACAAAACAAAATAATTAAACAAAACAAAACAACAACAACAACAAAAAAAACAACCAAGCCCACCAAACCTTTCTTTTTTGTGCATTTGCAGCGGCTATTGCAGTTGTCCACAAGATTTACACAAGGGGTGTACTCAGTGACAGAAGTGTTCACCAACTGAGCAATTAGGAAACATGGATGGAGGAATGCTTCCCACCTGAAATAAAATATTCACTTTAAGAATTAAACTCAAATAGCCAGGGAAAGAAAAAAATCCTACATGATCTAAGTTACTATCAAAATGTGCTAATGCTTTTCAGACTCTGAAAAATCAATTTTCAATGGACCTGCCTAAAACCAAGAATATTTTCTCAGAATTACTCTCAGTGAAACTTCTAACAATGAGTATTTTTACAGATGCTGCAAATCTGCTGGATGATCTGAGAAAATACAAAATACATTAGTTTCTGGTGTAATTCACAGCCCTGTGGATAATACCAGCAACAAAAAAGGCCATGTCTACTTGTCCCCTAGCAGATGAACACAGAGCACCTGTAAACCCACACGCCTCTACCTTTAGCTTTCCCATTTTCTACTGCTGTCCACAAAGCATCTGTTGGTGACCATAGGAGTACCCAGATGGCAGGCTTTACTGGGGGTGCAAATACTCTGGAATATGCTGAACAAAACTTCTGCATCTGGAGAACATGAAACTGCACCGAGTGTGGATCTCAGCTCAGAACAAAGCTCTGCAGAATAAGCCACAATTGTCTTTCAGGACTATAATTAAAGCATCTCCCTTTTTCTGAGAGATTTTTTAAAAGCATTCCAGTGGATACTAAAAACCTCTCTCGATCCTTCTGATCCCCCTCGATATCTCATTAAACTGACAGACCACAGCCTATTACCATACTTTTGCCATTTGCACGGTGGATGCATGATCTAGAGAAGAAGTTGTACTACATCACCAACTAAACTAATATTCCCGAGTGACCTTTATCCAATTTATAAATCCTTTTCTCTCCAGAGATGAAAGACCAGAGTGCTACTCCATGCTTCACTCCACACCCAGTATCTCACATATAAAAATAAAGAAGGTAGGGAAACATGACAAACATTACTTTAGAAATGAGAAACTCCCTAATTGAGCAATATAGTTTACTTTCATTTAATATGAGTAATCACATACAGGTCTAGAGTTTTTGTGTTTTACAGTTCTTTTTAATTCCACGTCTCCTTGCTGGAGTTGGTACGGGCATAAATTATTTCATCACTGTCTTTAGTAGAAGGGCATTAAGAACACCACCTTATGTTATACAGTACTTCCTACTCAAATCTTCAGTCACACTAACTATAGCACAATTCTGGGTATCAGGGTGAGAAAACCTCGCTTACGTGGCTCACTGACACTGAACTGAAAGCTCCACAGCATAGGAATAGGGAAATAAAATAGTAATGCATTATCAAGTTATGATTTGTATGATTTTAGAGAGAAAGTATTATAGACAAAAGAGAAGAATAATTTAAAATCCCTTTAAAGTTGCTTTTAAAACTGCAATAGTCACAAGCTCTTTGATTGAAAAGAAAAAAGTTAATTTGCTTCCAGTATTTATTATTTGAATTGCACGTGTAAAACATCATTATGTTAAACACACATACAGGCTGCAAGAAAAAAAACACACACAGTTCTGCATGTCATTAAACCACCTTAGTTATCGAAACTTAATGAGCTCTGAAATAGATACAATCCCAATATTGTAGGTCATAAAAAAGATTTTCCTTGTGACCTACATCATTCATATAGAAGAATTAAGAAATTAGGGCATCTTTCCACTTCTTATGCACTGTGTAAGTGCCTATTCACAGATTTAGACTCCTCAGAGCAAGGAAGAACACCAGATTCGGCAGGTTTTCCTCTGCAGAATCGTTACACTGAGCTGCCAAATCTCTACTCTGCTGACCACAGTTCCATGTAAAGGTGCATCCTGGGCCAACCACTGTGATGGGCAGTAGGTGGCAAGTTTCAGCATCGCTTAGCTAGGCAAAGATATGGATTGGCTTTCATTCTACACTATAGCGTGATGTAGAAGATATATATCAAAAAAGAGCACATGATCAGCACAGCAAAATTGCAGGCAGTTAGATCCGGCCACAGGGTCACACCAGATGCAGCTGCCAGCATTGCCCAGAGCAAGCATCAGCAAGGACCTCCCTGCCCAGGGCTAGTGAAATATACCAAGCTGCAGATTGCAGGGCAAATCAGGGCCCCCTGGCTTTGTGCCCAGGGTTGCAACAATCAAACCCATGTGCAGGGAGTCAAGCAATAGCATTTTCTGTTACAGAATGTTACTGATACATTAAAAAACAGTAATTGTGCTTTTCTATTTGTTGTGCTATAATTATTGCCTCAGGCTGCTCAAAATCTGAAAGGAGAACCCACCAGCTTTACAGGTGGTTTGGGGAAAGCTGATAAAACAGCATCTGAGCATGTCACAGGTGCAAACAGCGACCTGAAAAGGCTCTCCTGTAGAGAGGCATTGATTATTGACAAAAGCAATAAGTCAGCGGTAAAACGGAAGGGACAGACAGCATCATGACTTGGATGTGCTTCAACAAGTCTGCATATGCACAGTGATGAAACTAGACTGCTTCACTTCTGTCTAGGTTTTCATTCAATTAGTTGTGGTTAGATTAAGGACAAGAAAAACAGAACGGAAACGTGAAAACAACCTGCCAGGCTGTTCGCATTCCAGTAGGAAGTACTGCTAACTCAATAACTTCCAAATACCAAGCGACTGACTTTCACAGCTCTTCCATAGACATCCACCTCAGCATCTCTTCCAATGCAACCTCTTTTGGCTGGGTAATTTAAAGGAAAACAGCACATCCCTGGCAGTCTACTTGAGTCAAAAGCCTCCACCCTCACCACTCCTAATGATAACCCATCCATGTCCCATCTACTGCAGTTTAAATTAAAATCATATTTAATTTAAAATAAAATCATATATATCATATATACATATATCCAATATGCGTAGAAAACAGCGCTTGCTTATGCCTCAGTGCATCTTAGAACACAGCAGAAAAATCTTTCATGGTTGAAAAAGAAAAAAAAAAAACAGGAGAGCAAAGTCATCTGAAGGGCCAAGTAAATCTGTTTGTAAGGAATTGTTTCTTGGGTTCATAGAGAACCGAAGAACAATGTCACATACAAGCAGAAAGACTGCTATGTTCTTTAATCTTGAGTGTGCAAACTTGCAGCCCAGACTAATGCCAACTTGAAAAGATAACACCGTTCAGAAAATTAAGACCATCTGATAAAATATTATGAAAAGTAGCTTGAGAAAGCAAATTCTTGAATATCTTCACACCAAAACAAGTGTCCAGGCAGGAAAAAAAAGACTTGAATACTTCATTCACATTTTTCTTTTCCTTCAGACAGAAGAAACTGAGAAATGCATGTGAGAGTTGGTATAAAAGTCTATTTTTAATTATACTATAGAGATGAATTTACTGAGAGGAACTAAATGTTTCATATTCATTTAGAAATATGAAAGTAATTTGATGTTAATGTGGATAAACAATATTATCCTAATATTAAAGTTTATCAAAACTATTTCCATGAAAAGAAAACCAACAAAAACAGTAACAACAACTGTTTTGAAAGATATCCAGTTTTCAAAGTGGTATGCAAAGTCTTGTAGAAGGCTACAACCCATTCTGGGAGCCCAAGAAATGGAAAAGCTTTGTCTGAGCTGAGATAGTTCCAATTTTGAAACTGCCAAAGACTATGAGATACCAGCACTAAGTGTTCTCTTGGTATGTTCTAACAGAGAAGAGCATGAAGAAATCCTGACCCAGTACACACTAAGTCTTTTTCTCCCTTTCCCATTCCTAGCTCTCCTACCTCCAAATAACTCAAAAGAACTTACAATCCTTGGCTTATATCTCAGTTTTCAATAGCTACTGTACTCTAGAACCCTCAGCACACAGTCTCTGCAGACCTGAGAAGAGAAACACCTTCATGGTGAGTGCACATGACAGACATTCTTTTTCTTTCCTCTTTCAGGAGGAGAAAGGAAGGGTCACAATCCAGCAAATTCTTGTTTGTAGAGAATTTCTTGGAACAGCTTCTTGTCCATTTAGAAAGCCAGAATCAAAATTGCATAGGGAAAGCATCTACTAAAAAGAGCTGAAGAACAGACTGAAGCTCTGAATCCCTTGAACAGTGAGAAGTCAAGTCAATCCCCTCTGCTTTACATGAGCAGAGAGCAGTGAAATCTCCACAAAGGTGCTGTGCCTGCTTAATGAGGTAGAAAGCCGACAGAGGCCCTTGGCAAAGTGGATTATGATAGGATGGATGATATGTGCTGGATGAATTATTGTCAGATAGTTCCTTGAAACATTATGTAAAGCTACAGCCTTGTTATACAACATTCTTGAAGTCTTGTTGCTCTTCTGTCAGTCTTAAGACAAAGAAAGTGAAAGGCAGAAGAAACTGCATTTCCTCAGTTGCTACCTGTTTAGTTTTCTAAGGTTGTATCTCCAGTAGAACAAAAAACTGAACAAAATTTTATTGGAACAGAAGTTACCATAGTGGTAATAGAGGAGAAAAAAAATACAAACAACATGCAATACATAATTGAACCAGTTCTATCCTCCCCCCTCAATCTTTTTACATTGTGTAACCTGTTTTTCATTCTTCGTTCCATCAGAAAGCCAGGAGTGTTTGCAATAGAATACTAAAAATACCAATGAAGTACTGAATTCAAAATATTTTAACTTTTAGACAATCATATTTCTGCATTTTTCTCCTCTTTGATTTTTTGAGGGGTCTACTTTGGAATTAGGTGCTGACAAAGTCACTTTACAGCAGTAAAGGTTCAGAGTGTAACAATGGAAAAGGAAATTCAATTCAAAGAAAATTTACTTCCATAGAATTGCTTAAATCAAACCAAGAAAACTTTTTACTCCGTAGAAAAAAAATATTTTGAGGAAAGTGTTAACAGCAATAGACTTTCCTCAAGTCTTCCCCTTTCTCACAGCAGTTTCTTTCTGACAATTCATATAGTCATTCAGCTGTTTCTTCTGGCAAAGCCAGAATCCAGAACAGGATCTTCATGAAAAGGAAACCAATAAATTAGAGCTCTTTGTGAGCAATTTGCTGTTAGTTCTGTTCTCTCTGCCTATTAAGATTCTTTATTTGTTTCACCAAGAGATTTCTGCTGACAAGTCTATTCATTTACTACTAGCCTAGATAAAATACTAATAAACAAAATGTCAAAAAAAATGTATTCATTCAACTTTCCCTTTTTTTCCACTGGGCTTGTTATTAAAGGGACCACAGAACTAAAAATTGACATCTGATGGAATCAGGATGCTTGTTTCCCCTCCCCTCAAGACTAGGCTCTATTTCAGGCTTGAAAGCAGCTTGTAAAAGAGCTATTTGAAGCTTTCATATTTCTCAGTTCTGTTAGACAGGCACAGAAAAGCCTTTCACTCCACTAATTTCAGCAATTCTACAACTCCCCATCAAAAACAAACAATACCTTTATGGAAAGATACTGCGCGATACTACACTACCTCTAGGCTTCTTATGGCATCCCACAAATGTTTTACAATGAGATTATGATGCTTTGTTGTGCTTCAGATAGGTTGTCACCGCTGTAACTTTTGCAGAAATAAACAGTAAAACTCTGGGACCTTCCTCCAGTTACTGATATATGCTCTGCTAAATCTCTAAGTATTTGGCTGATGTGGAAGAATTGAAGCATGCTCCTCAGCTGCTGAGTCTCAAGGGAATCCCACCTGTAGCCTGTGTGAGCAAAGCTCAGGTGTATGGATGGAACAGCATCTGGATGTAACCATCCTCACACGAAGACTGCTGAAAACATAAATAGGAATTAGAGTCATATAGTGAAGGCTGAGGACAGCTGGTCACCAGGATCTAAGTGAGACAGGTTGTCATTAACAGGGCATAAAACATCTACGTAGAGTGCCAAACTGAAAGGAATCCATACAGGACTCCTATGTCATTTCCCATAAATCTTGACCCCACCAGAACTTCAGCACATTGTCATTTTCTTTACCAAAAACAGCTTGTTCACATTTTTTTGAATAAACACGCAGTCAAAATGCAAGACAAAACTGCTAAGGTTCAGGTATGATGTTCCTTCTTACACCTTACTCCTCCCGTTTCATTTTAGCTTAGAACATATGATCACCCAGAGACAGCCAAATGTTCTGTGGAGTTTGCAGGAGCATGTCTCTCCAGCCAAAGCTGTTGGTAGTCCTAATCTGTTTTGCTAAACATATCCAAAATGATATGGATGAGAAATGCAGCCTTGCAAATTTCACATGCAGAGGTATAGTTTTGCAGTGCGAACAGCTGATTATTTTTGGAGTGTCTTGTGAACCATTCAGGTGAGTGGAAAAAGAAGCAGACTTGTCTCATCTAGAGTTTGAGCAGGATGGAAATGTTCACCTACAATGCCAAACAAAGAGGTAGCTGCAGGGCATTTTTATACATTTATTATGAAACAAAGATTAAAACAATTATATGGAAATTAAGGATAATATGGAACATTTATCTTCCTCTCAAGAAGTAACATGGCCTAGTTCAACAAATAGCTTCACAGCTTGAGGCACACCACATGCGAAATGATAAAATAGTTTGGGTTGAGAGGACAGCCAGAATGGGAATAGCTCAGCTCTGTTAGGTGTGTCTCTCACAGCTATGGAAGAGACTGTGTTCCACTGCACTATTACTCTTTGGCAGAAAAAAAAAAATCAGTAAGTTTTCATGAGTATGTAGATACTTGTTCACAAGCTCAAGGAAGCTGAAGAGCCAGCATGGTGAAAATAACAGAGCTTACCCTCTACTCAAACACTTTCACTCAGCACGGTTCATAAAAGATAATGCTGTTTACAGAGCTTTAGAGTTCATTGTGATTTTCTTAGTTACAAGTGCCATGCTCAAGCAAATCATAGCTCAGAAATTTTACTTTTTAGGAGTCATAGTTATATGTTCAAATACAAAATTAGAAAGATGCTATGACCTCGGTTTAGTTCCTCTGACTATGGAAGCTCCTCTTTCAGAGAGGTAAATCCTTCTGCAGTAATACAAGCGGAAACATTGTTTGTGAAATATGCTTTCTCTATTCTGATGGCAACAAATGACACATTATAACCCAGAACATTTCTATCTATAAGTTTTCACAGATATTTCCAAGCTTAATTTTTAAAAAAATGTGTACCAAGATCATTTGTGAAACTTCAGACAGTATATGCTTTCCCTGGGAGAAAGTCTTCAATTAGATCAGGTTGCAAGGAAGAAGGAACAGAATAATCTTCTAGAAGTGACAATTTCAGAGCAGCCTTGATGTTAAACTCATGACAGTATCCAGAAGAAGGGGAGATGATCAATAACTGGACGAGCCACCCAAACTCATGTTATCCTGAGAAATATTCACCTAATTCATCACTATCATCAGCTTTTCTTTTGGAAGCTTTTTTCCACTGCAGCTGGAGAGAAAAATAGATACATTTTCATAGTTTTAGGAATGTAAATAAAAATCTTTCTGCTTTTAGTCACAAAGGCTCAGAACTTGTGACTTATTGAGTAACAACATCCTTCGAGGTACATTAAAACTAGGTTTTCATCACTGAATACTACTACTTATCTGAAAGAAACTTACTGCTTACAGTTGTTCTTAATGTTGAAGCAATAACCACTGTCGTGATTCTAAACCACGTTGTAAAGTTTACCTAAACGACGCAGAAATTTACCTTTACAAAAGCAGAACACTGTCATAACTTCTTTTACACTGAACACCACCAAACGTTTCTCTTGGTGTTAACAGGTACATTTGGAATGTGGCAATATTACCCATGTAAAACTGCAGCAGTTTGTCCTGTAACAAGCTCAAGTGTGACCTACTCTAAGAACGCAACAAGAAGTCCTTCACTCTCCTCTTTCGCAAATGTTCTGAATACAAGAATTCATCAGGATTTAAGGGATTAAGAAGCCACTGTCTGTGAAAAAAACTGCAGATATTTTCATTAGGTTTTTTATGAGTTGGCAGCAAATATTCTAGCTGTGAACTTTTATGAAGCTATAAATATAAAGGACCTTCTGATACTGGTATGATGATAATTCTAAATTTCCTCTTTGCAGCTGCAGTTGATCCCCTGTATTTGGTTAAAAAACCCTTCTTTTGTGATTTAGCAGGGAAAGTTGGCTCAACTACTGTATTGCTTTGGAGCACTTCAAGTGGAAGTTCATGAATTAAATCCACATGGCAACATAGCCCTTCTCCCCACCTTTCCCTTAAGGTGGCTATAGAACATCAGTAGAAAGTCAAGCTGTTTATTTTACTTAGCATTTGGTTCTGTGAGTTTCTAGGGGGGGCTTATGTGCCAAGAACATCTTTGCAACCAGCTCCTTTGCATCACTAAACTTTTATTAAACTATGCCATAAGTAATAAAGCAATCCTTACATGCTTCAGATTAATACTAGTAACAACAAAAATAAACCAACCAAAAAACAAACATGAATATGCAGGTAAGTAACAGACCTTTTGGCAACCTATTCTCTGAAACACTAGTGTGTTTAATCATCTGGTAAAAAGAAAAATTCTTCTCCACTGACAGCTTTTTACAAAACTTGATTTCCCAGGGGACTTATCTTTCAGGAATAAAATATAAGAAAGGATTTTGTCTACATTTTACTTCATATTCCAAAACCTCTGTGGTGAATAGTAATCCTAAATTCTTCTGATAGATTTGCACCACTCTAGATATGTTTGAACACTAAGTGCCAATACATTCTACTTAATTGCCTAGTAAACAAGGAGGAGTCATTTTCTCACAATATCTTGGGAAAAGGGAACAATTTGAGACAGAAGGGAACTCCTTCCCCTGGTTTCTCAGTCCCTAAACATACTGGAACAGCTTTAAAAAGCCCACAGCTGTGCAGAAAAAAAGCCATCTAGAAACTGCAAAAGGATCAGGCATCTTGGGCCTGTAATGACTGTAATAACATCACACACTGTTCTTGATTTTTCGCTGCACAGTTAGAAGATCAACAAGAAAGTTAAATTAACCAGGCTGCCCATACTCATGCCAGAACTCACTGTGAGATGAGTTACATTTGCTTATATTGGTCCCAAAGCAAACTGAAGACCAGCTCAACTAATGGAAAGTTATCAATCATGCTAAAGATAGATAATTAGACACCCTCTCTTTGTATCTGTAAATCTAAGGAGCTGTATGTAATATTATCCACCAGCTCTACTTGCTGTTACAAAATAAGGTCAAGAAGCAAAATCTGCAGATTATATGTAGACTGGATAAAAGATGACCTCTGCACTGAATCTGGTGAGCTTGGCTAGTGTCCTACACTTTTTTTTTTTAAAGCATTATTCTACAGTGATCTGAAGTATTCTGCCTTGCAATTGAAACTAAATATATATTGAAAGAAGCCATAACTTCTATGAAGAGAACAGAGGATCTCTGTAAAATAAAGGAGGCACATAGAGAAGGACAAAGCAGACCACAGACAAAAACATTATTCATTATTAAAATGACAAGAGTCCTCCAAATTTATCTCAGTTCAAGTGCACAATTTCCTAAGTTCTCTTTGGAAAAAAATACAGTCATAAGGTGCTTAAAAGCATATTACTGAACAGTAGTTTATTAGGTGCTCTAAACAGGTCCACTATAATTAAAAAAAAGGTCACACATGGAAATTAATTCAGGTGCACAGGTGCCTCTATTTGTCTCCTTTGCAGTATTGGCCATGTAAAGCTAAAGAAGTTCATGGATATTACTTAGAAACCTAATTAGACCACTAGAAGTAAACTGCATTAAGAAAAAAATAACAATAAAAAACTTCAGCTTTAACAATAAACTGAAGCCATTTCAAGTGCTGCACTAGCAACTAAAACTATCATAGAGTATCAACATTCTGTAACACGAGGCAAAATGAGAGGAATTAGAAAGTGCAATTGCTATTTTCATTATGATTGTGCCTTTTTGGGAAGTACAGTATAAGCCTCCTATCACTAGCACTAATTATTTTGGCAGTTTATTGACAGGCACAATTGGAGAAAAGGTAAAAATTTCTAAGAGCAAAACAAGTTCTCGGCTAGATTTCTTCAGCTTGATACACTTCAGACTTTCATTTATGGCCAAATTGAAGCTGGATGTCAAATCTTGGTCCCTTAGAACAAAATCTTAATAATTAACTGGCAAAACTGAACATGATCATTTCTGACACACCTACACTGGTAATTATTGCTTTGAGGCCATTTACTAATGAAATTAATGTATTCATTGCCCTAACAAATTAGCATAACTCATACATAATGCCCCACATTTCAAGACCTTCCCAGAAAAACAACACTTAATACCACAAAGTGAAATGGCAAGGGCATTGCATGGAGTCAGTATTCACTGAATTACTACGTGTTAAAACCACAATAGCTAAGTGTTATAAAGCAAAAATGTAAACACAATGTGGGTATTGTAACCAGTAATAGTGTAGTCAAAAGTGTACAATCGATGATTATCTCTGCACTTCAAACAGACACATATTACAATAGCAGTAACCATGGAAGGTAATTAGCTGACTACTTTTCATGATTCAAAGTACGAAAAAGAGGCAGTGCAAAAATAATTTCTTACTCAAATCCACAGTACTTATGGTGTGGCTACTGTGCTTTTCATCCTATATTGCCATCCAGATGACTTCAATGCTTAGAGCAGCAGCCATCAGGCAAAGCAATAGAGGAAGACAGGATTAAACATGTTACCTTGGAAATGACAAAAACACTAGTGGCAGTTTACTGCCATTTTTGTTGATGGTAAGATTCCCTCACTTC